TGGAGACAAAATACATCCCTGACGGACCCCCTTCCTGATTTTGAACCATCCAGTGTCTCCCTGCTCTGTTCTGATGACTGCCTCTTGCTCCAAGTATAGGTTTCACATTAGCACAATCAGATGTTCTGGGATTCCCATTCTTCTCAGAGTCAGCCATAGCTTGTTGTGATCCACACAGTCAAAAGCCTTTGCATAATGTGATAGGCCAAAAAATCTATAGTGCTGCTGGGCTGATAAGAGAATTGAGATTTAGACTTTTCTGTCCTCACATATGTATTTTTCTCTTTCTGATGGCCCTGAAACCTTGGAATAAAATTGATTTCATCCTTTATTTGAACGCCTTCCATTTTCTGTTGGACCAGAAAATGTATCAACTTTCACATAGAGAACAGAGAAAATATAAATTGCATCTGCTTAAAAGCATTAAATGACTAACAAGGCAGTGATGAATTTTTAGGCCAAAATTCAAGACAAGAAGGAAACTGACATCAGAATTTGAAGTCACATGTCTGCTAACAGGGCCTGCTGATTCTGAAAGAGGCTATTGAGAAGCTTGAGTTTTCAATAATCTTAGTGGGTTAAAGAGACAGTTTCATGGATTCTGGCAAAGGACAAGAAATGCCGAGGTCGGAGATTATCACTGATGTCACAGTGGGCAGTGTGTTTGTATTGGTTCCCATAACCTCTCAAATCCTAGAGGGTTAACCCAGAGGCAGATGGGTACTAACGTGTTGAGGGCTTATGTCATATCTAAGGAACCACAATTTTAGGAAACCTCAATTTTTTTATAAAGGACTTCACACAAACCTATCCAACTTCTGCCCTGGAAGAAGTTATTTTTATACTAGCAGCAAATAAGTCTTCTAATCTGGAGGAAGACATTATCTCACATTAAAACACCATATCTGCTGTACCATAATCCTTTAAAATATCATCTGAAACAATACTTGTTAATGCTTATTTTCACAAGATGTGACAGATCTGTGGAGAATTGTCTCTCTCTTTTTTTTCATTAATTTTAATGAAAGTTTACAGAGACTTAGGGTTTCCAATCATTAATTGTTGCACTTTTCTCCCTGCCACTCCCTTCCCCCCCCAATTTGTTCTCTTTGAAAAGGAAAAGAAAAATTATTTCATTGTTATACAATCCCTCCCCCCAAAGTCCATTCCACTATGCAGCCTTCATTCTGGATTCCTGTCATGACAATAATAC